ATGACGATATGGATCCCATAAATCACAATGAACTTTCTCAAATATTCCAGATGCCTTATTATTACTCTAAGGAAAACTATTTCTAAGATTTTTAGCATTCATACATACTTCACACCCCTTATTTGGACTATCTTTGCAATTAACAGTTGGAAGTAATAACTTATCCACTTTCTCGGAAGGATGACCTATACGACGATGACATAGCTCCAAATTAGACCTTGCGTCGATAGCGCCTACATGATGCACCAAATCTAATTTGCTAAAATAGTACAATTGTCTCTCCTAGCTCAAGTTCCAATCAACTCCTTCGTTTGATCCTGTATAGCTCAAGTTACAATTAAGCTTATCATTAAGTTGTGAAACAGGAAAGAAAATTACAACTCAAATTAGGAACATAAAGCACCCCAATTAGAGTAATTTTGTCCGATAAACAAACGAAACCAACAAGAGAAGTCAATACTGTTTCACCGTTTGGTAACCCTACTGAACATTCAAGATTCTTTGTGTCAAAAAACCATGATTTTTCTCCTGTAACATGGTGTGTAGCTCTAGTGTCAATAATCCAAGATGTATCATCAAATTTATTATTCACACAATTCTCGATAATTATGGCATTGCCTTACAAACCTGTAACGTTGTAATATATTTTGATTTGTCATGTATAAATAACTACACTTAGAACTCAAACCACGACATTGATAGGTCAATGTAATGGCAACCCCATGACCACTATTGCACTCAATGATTGATGGTGGTGGAGTATTGCATTCGTCCACCATGCTAAACTTTGTGGAAACATGGCTTATTTCTCATTAATTATGGAACACCAATATATAGAGTACAAGCAAACCTAGAATTACCTTATCTTCGTTATCCTTAGAACTAGGAAACAATCACAAATATAAACACAATTACCATAAACAAACTCTATCAAATATACTATAATATCTCTAAAAATATATTCGTAATACATGCCATTCTTCTGGATATATATCGAAACATTTTTTCAATGTAATTCGCGTATGAGCTTTGCAATCACATTTTGATGATTCCTTATTTATTTGAGGTTTAGAAAAATCAACTACCTTCAAAGGTATTTTCCCTTCGCAATGACAATAAAAATCACGTCTGATAGCCCTACCATGTCTAGTGTCCTAACAATCTTTACGAACGACAAAACCATGTTGTTTAGCATACTTTTTATGAAAGACAAATACCTCTTCTTGAGTCTCAAAGTTTGGCCAATAAAAGGTTCATCATCATTATTTTCCTCTTCAATCAAAGGTCCATTCAAATCAAAATCAAGCATGATAAATTCTGTAAACATGAAAATAAGTAGCCTTTATTAACAAAACATAGTTTATTGCATACTTCCTCCGTTCTTTTTTACTTGAACCGCTTTGACTTTTACACTATTAATCACCCTTTTGTTTGACCGTCTTTTGTAAATAATATGCAATGAAAAATATATTCATGTAAGATCTTTTTGAATTCGTCTCAATAAGTACTCCCATAATATGTAAATTTTAAAAATTTTACTTATAGAGAATAAAAGTTATTGATCGTTAAAGTTTTACATTGGCAAGCGTGATAAAAGAAACAGGTCAAATAAAAAAGAACAGAGGAAGTATTAATTAGAAACATCTCAAACGAACAAAAGTTATAACATCTGCTTAAAAATCATCACAATAGCATATATATTACTACCCAAAAATATTTCAACCGAAATTGATAAACCTTAAAATATTCGTCAAAAAATTTAGGCCAAATTTCATTTTATTATATGGGTGTTATTCAATATGGCAGAAGTTAACTCAATGTCTATATTCGTTAAATTTCAACTCCATATACTACCCCGCCCCCCCAAAACACTCACTTTTCATTCCAATTTCATGTGGGTTTCATTGAATTGGGATTATGCAAAAGAAACAAATTCAAACAAATTCTATAACTGAAACTATACAATTATACAAAAGAAGAAAAAAAAAACTTTTGGCAAAAGTAATACGTTGAATTGAATGTTATGTGCTATATATAGCATTTGCCATAATTTTGTTTAGGAAAATTTGACTTTTACCACCTCCATAAAACGACTTATTTGTTTTTACCACTTACATAATTTAAAGTTTTATTTTACCACCTCAGTAAAAAATTAAAGTTGGTTTTTCCCACCAAAACCCAACTTCGGCGATGGAAAAGTGTTGTGGGGTCCACAGTTTTATGCTTCCCTCCTAATTAAATGTCTTCAAACCCGATTTCCCTTTCTCTCTTCAATAACACCTTTCAATTTCTCACCCACCTCCCATTAAAATTTATGAATTTATCTTCTCTCACCTTAGAATTTTCATCTCTTTGTTAAAATTGAACCCTAAATTTCTCACCTTTTTCCTTTACTTTGTCATCTGGTAGTTGAAGAAGAGGTGACACCACAAAAACAGAACAACTAACAAAGGCGTCGTCATCTTCAACAAGGATAGGACCAAAAGCTTGGGTCTTTGTTGACAAAGATTCGAGAATCCTGACAAAGAAGTAAGCATTGCCATTGGAACTCCACATTGGCATCTTTTCTCTTTTGAAGGTGATAGGCTTATGGAAGACATTTGCTTCTGCAATTAACAGCCAACAACATAAATATTTGTTCTAATTTAACACAATTATCATTGCCAAACCTTAATTATATTTACCAATTACAATTTCGAAAAACCCCAAATTAGTTTTTCTTAACACGAACCCTAATTTAGAACCTCTGAATTTAGGGCTCAATTCATAACTGATATTAACAATTACAATGATACAAAAACATTGGAAGATAATTACAGCAATAATTGCGAAAATACACCTAATAATTCATGTGATTTGCGAATTAAGTGAACAACTTATCTTCTTCCAATTTCTCAATCAACTGACTTTTTCAAAGAGCACAAATCTGGAAGTTTGGATGATAAGATTATTAGGGAAGAGCAAATTTGAGGATTTAGGGAGAAATTCGCCAACTTAAAGCACAATTAAAGTTCTTTTTAGGAGAAATGAAGAAGACGAATTTACATAAACAAGGAAATCGAAAGAAATTGGGGAAAAGTTTGAAAAGGAGTCGTTATTGTGTTCCCTGCAACACTTTTCCATCACCGGAGTTGGGTTTAAGTGGTAAAAGCCAACTTTAACTTTTTATGAGGTGGTAAAATAAAACTTTAAATTATGTAGGTGGTAAAAGCAAATAAGTCGTTTTATGGAGGTGGTAAAAGTCTAATTTTCTTTAATTTATTGAAAAAAATTCTAAGTACAAACTTGAACGTTTTGTTTTGGAAAAGTTTGAATTTTTTTGGGATAAATTAATACGAAGAGACAGAAAAAAATGAATTTGGAAAAGTCAAATATTTTGAAAAGATATGATAGCTAATACGCGGGCAATTAAAGATCAATTAATAATTATCTTTTCCTAAATTAAAGGAAACTGAATATTCATATTTAATGTCGCGTTCTTTGTATCTATACCAAATTTTCTTTCCGCCTCTATTTGCTTTAATAAGCACGCGTTTTATTAATTTGGGCCTGTCATTTTGATCCAGGTTTACTATGCCCATGGTACACCTGGGTGTAGGAATAACTCATTGATATTTAAATGTACAACAATCCAAGTATACAATAAAAAAAAAATTGACTAACAAGTTTAACCCGTGACGGGCTAAATACTAGTTAGATAGAAAGGGAAGGAAAATAAAGCAACCTAGACTTGACAACACAATATGAGTAAAGTGACTCGACATCTTCATCCTTCGTTGGCGCAAATCAGATCACCATTGTAGGCTTGTAGCTACTTCCCTCCACCAATGGCGTATCCAGGATTCACATAAAGGGTGTGCACAGTTATGTACTTATAGAAAATCATGTTGTAGTCAGCAAAATAATGGTTGGGAAAAATGTGTTGCGTGCAATGGGATTCGAATTCTAGACTATAATTAAATTCAAGAAAGACTAAAAAAACACTTGGATAACCAGGAAACTACACTTAATTATTAGTAAAAAGTTGCACCAAATTTTATTTTAATATAATGTAGTTGCAGGGTATGCAAAGGCATACCCTTGATACATGTTGTATCTGCCCCCTGCCCTCCACCATCTACTCACGCTTTCCTCCTCCACTGAAACTGCACAGGAACCACCATCTCCACCATCATATTTTCGGCGACTTCGTCATCAAATTAAACGAAAACCCTAAGAAAAAAATAGAAAAATTAGGACATGGTTAACTATTAAAGGAGAAGGTTATCGTTCTCCTCCATTGAAAATATTAATAAGCTTTGATTACTCCAAGTCTCCATTAAAGCTACTTCCACCAGTGAAGCCGTCGAATCATTGATACCTTATCATATTTCTACTTCAAAGTTACAATATTAACCCTAACTTATTTGTTGAAGTTATGAATTTACCCTATTGATATAGAAGTTAGGCCTGTTCACGGATCGGATATCCGATCCGAAATGTGATTTCGGATCGGATATCCGAAGACTCGGATATCAAAAATTGATATCCAAATCCGATTTGAAAAATTCGGATATCCAAAATTTTCGGATCGGATGCTTCGGATATCCATTATCCAATATTAAGTAAAATTGTTATGATTACTTTCTAAATTTCACTAATTTTACCGTTTTTTTATCGCTAAGTTGTACAAAATATTTTAACAAAAATAGTAGTCCTTTTGCAATTAATGTTATCATCAAATATATTAAGAATATTACAATAAGTTAATAATACAGGGTTAGTTTTATATGAATAATTTAAAAATTATATTATTTTAGGCTTTATATTTCGGATATCTTTCGGATATCGGATATCCGAAATTCTGAAAATTAATATCCAAATCCAAATCTGCATCCGATATCCGCTTTTTCGGATCGGATCCGAAATGAAAATTCGAATCGGATATCCAAAAATTCGGATCGGTTGCGGATCGAATTATCGAATTTTCGGATTCTCGGATAGTTTTGTACAGGCCTAATAGAAGTATTACGTAAAGAACTAAAGGTCATCCATAAAAAGAGGCAAAGAGCACAACCTCCCCCACAAAAGCCACAACTATAGTACTAGAACTCCCAAGTTGTCACTTTCCACTTCAATTCATATAAATACTCACTCCCTTCTCACCTCATCCAAAAACCCCCCAATTCAATTCTTTTGAAAAAAAAACCCCAATTTTTTTCACTCTAATTCAATGGAACCACCAACACCAACACCACCCTCATCACAACCCACTACTTCACACCCAACAGACCCTTCTCCCTCTCCTTCTCAACCACCAACTCCTTCGCAACAACCTCCGTCGCAACAACCGCCGTCTACTCCTCTTCCACCCCCACAACCGCCGCAACAGCCACAGTCACAACCGCAGCAACAACCACAATCACAATCACAACTGCAGCAACAACCGCAACAACAACAACAGCAACAACAACAACAGCAACAACAACCACAACAACAGCAACAACCACCACAACAGCAGCAACAACAACACCAACAACAGCAGCAACAACAGCAGCAGCAACAACACCACCACCACCAACAACAAACACCTTCAAACCCTAATCTGAACCCCACAAATCCACACCCTTCTTACCCCCAACAACACCAACAACAACAGCAACCGGTTGCATTTAGTAGAGCAGCATGGTCACAACCCACATCCCAATATTCACATTTCTCTTCCCAATTTCAGTCATCAACTTCATCTCCTGCTGCCCCTCCGCCGCCGCAGAGGGGTGGCATTGCTATTGGGGTTCCTGCTCATGCTTCATCTGGTCCGACTCAACCCGCCGCCTCGTTTTCTTCCGCTTTTGGTGTTCAGTATGGTGCTGCTCTTCCTCGCAATCCTGTCAGTCTTCCCGATCCTTCTGTTGTCCCCTCTTCCTCCCCTTCTCCGGTAATTTGTTCATGTTTGTGTTTTTGATTTTTGAGTTTTTGATTTCATGAATTGGGTTGATTTGTTTTTGATTGATCGATGTCAAATACTGGAATTCGGCTTTCTGGGGTTGATGGGTCAATGCTGGATTTTTGTGGGAGTTTAAATTGAATGTTGCTTTAGGTTTTTGGTTGAAATTTGATTTTGTGCTGTGAAATTTCAAAGTATATGTTGTTTATAGATTGCTGTTTTTTGGAGCAAGAATTGGTTTTTATGCTAGAAATGGAGATTGATGAAGTAGTATTTGATCATGCTTAATTATGTTAATTTCATACTTTGTGATCACCATATGCTCAGTTGTGTGTGGAAATGGCTTTGCAGGCAAGGCCTATGATGCATGGAATGCCGAGCATGGGGATGATAGGTTCTCAGATGCGGCCTGGTGGGGTTCCGCCTTCGGCCCTTCACCAGCAAAGACCAATGCAGGCAGCTACTGGAATTAGATCCCAGACTACTTCCAATAATATGCCATCTGTGACCCAGGTTATGTTTGTCTTCTTTGGATCTTCTTCATTGGTTTTATAATATTAGATCAAAAGTTCAGGTTTAGTGTTTCATTTAGTGAGTTGTAGTGAGTTTTTCATTTGTTTGGTATCTTTTTGTGTAAATATAAGATTGAAACAGATAACTTTAGAGCTGCAGTAGAGGATGAGGAACAAGTCTTATTAATAAATACACATTATATTTGCATCTTTGCTATCTCTCGTTAAAAATTTGACATGATATCTCCAATATATTCTTTAAGCTAATTTTAAAGAAGAATTGCAATAACAACAACAATGACCTTGAATTAAGCGGTAGAATCTAGGAGAATCATATTTTTCATCAAATGTAGTATACTATGGGAATATCTTGTGAATCAAGTATAGTCTACTTTTATTTCTAGATAGTAATTGTATTCAATGTCTGCATTAGTATAAACAAGTGGACGACCAGCATAAAGGAAGTATTTTTCTTAAAACCCAACAATTGGGATTATATTGATAATCTGACTGAGCTACAACATCAATACTTTCATGAATACTGTCTACCCATAATCGATTGCCAACCTCCATGGGTTGGAAAATGGAATTGTGCCAAACTATTAGCAACCTTATTTCCACTATACGTCTATACTTAACAAACAAAAAGACAACAAATCAAAGCTAGATAACAAGGCATAAATATCTAAAATAAAAAACAGATTGCTGCTACCCCTCTTCTTGTCACTCAAAGTTTGAATTATTGGAAGACAATCACTTTCCACAGAAACATTCTTCATGTTCAGTTCTAGAGCCATGCAATTACTCAGCTCCCAAATCTCGACAAACTGAATTGATGCACCTGCCACCACTCTGCCCTCCTCATTCCTAAGAACAATTCCTAATCCCTTATCAACCTAACCTACTGCTTCCACATTCACCTTTACTTGACCTGCACTTGGAGGCGCCATAGAAGATGTGAAAGAGTGTGTGACCCACCCTTTGAAGTAGTCGCTGCATTAGAACAACCAGAATGTAGCTCATTAATAATCTTCTTTGCTTACTCTAAAGTCTTCAATGGCTCCATTATCTCCCCCTCAATCACAAATTTATTCCTAGCTCCCCAAATTGCCCAACAAGAAGTTATTAATTCCCCCAACATAATACTTGCCAAATGCTCGAAACAGGCAGCCCACCATTCAGTAAAAGAAGAGGGTTGCACACTAATTAAATGCTCGTAAGGACTGATTTGCAGCAAGTGTGGTGCTTTTCTTTGTGAAGTCAGTAGTTTAAAATTAAGGCTGTATGCTGGTTGATGCATCTAGTTTTACTGTGGACGGTTCTAGTTGAAGTATGTGTGTTTGCATTGTTTGAGAATTAATAATTTAAAATTGATCAGTGGTATAATTTAGTGTTTTCAGAATCTGGTGCTTGTGTCTAGTTGGGTTCCATGAGAGGATTTTATCTCGTATATGTAATTTAAATAAGTTGAAGAAGAGTTATCTTGAGAATGATAGCATAATTCATGTCCCTTGGGAATAGTCCTTGGTGTTTGGGATATTCAAATATGTCTAGATTCAATTCAGTAAGATACATGGTGGAAGGCTAACTTTAGTTATGAAAAGATACATGGTAGAAGGCTAACTTTAGTTATGTAAGCTTTATGCTTTCATTACATTGTAACCTCATTCATCTTCCTTTAGAGGATGTACAATCATTAACTAAACAAATAGTCCATGGCTTCCTCTCTTGCTCTTTCTCATCCCTTCCCATTGTTCACTTTTTTTTCTTTCTCCAACACCCACCCCACTCAAGAACTAATAAAAGTAGTTCATCTACTTTATGCTATTAGTACTATACACCACCACATGCTTTCTCTTATGCTTAGTGAATTGGTGATTAATTATCAAAGTACATAGTAAAATGATAATAATGATTAGATTTTAATCGTCATAGCAATATAATAATGGAAAAAAGTAAATAAGCAATTACCATGATTAATTAGCAAAGAAGAAATTAAGAATATCATAATTATTTTATGGAGAGAAAAGAAGTCCAAATGGAGAAAAGTGAAAATAAATCAATATGGGTGTCTATTTATAACATTTAAACTATATGACGTCAAAAACTTTTTGTTGAAGAGAATTCATACTAAGCCCTATATTTTTTTTGAACTTATTTTCACTTATTATAGAGAAATTGAGTTCGTGTAAGAGCTAAAAAATATAGGAAAAAATAAGTTCTGATGAGTGAAGTTTCATGTTCAATTGACAACCAATATAAGTAAAAATATGTTGTGATGTGTTTGTTATATTCAAATTAGTTATAAGATAAGCTCAAATAAAAATTAGGGGAATTGAACCTGAAATTGGACTGATTGGGCATGCTTAAGATCACTACTTGGCGGTACAAATGGATGTTACTCACCAGAATGACAAGTTTTGGTGCGTAGTCTTCTTAGGACACACTAGTGATCATTGTTTTGTTGAGCTATCAGCCAATTTAAATTTTTTTTTTTTAGCTTAGTTGGTTCATGTAGGGCCACTTCCATATGAACTTTAATTGAGTCATGATATAATCATTTTATAGTTCATGAACTTGTAAAGACATGTTAGCATGAATGTGGTCCACTAATTATTTTTTACTTGTGAATTGTGAAATATGGATTATGGAGTAAGATTTATCCATAAAAGTTGGTTCAGGGACCATATTCATGACATAAAATTGTCTGAAGGCTATGCTGAAGTATAAAAATTGAGCTTATGTAATGACAGGTTTATGAATTATTGATGGAATGAACCAAATCATGTCTTGATTCATGTATGAGTGGGTTCTGTACCATCTCATGGAATTAAGTTTTTTTTGGCTAATTGCAAACTCAAATAATTGTGAAGTCGCTGTTTTAGGGCGCACTAGCCAAAACTATTTCAATTTTTTTTTAAAAGTTTGTCGGCAAGGCTAATGTGGCGTGCATACCAATCTTAGTTTCATACTTGTATCTTGCTTAGATTTTTCTAATTATATCCACAACACGACTAAAAGTTTTCAATGACATTTTTTCTATAATATAGAAGAAAAAAAAAATGGAACTTATAAATAGGCACCCATATTGATTTTTTTTTTTTGAAGAAAGAAGGCACCCATATTGATTAATTTTAACTAGTGGTAATTATTATTATTTTTGTTAAGGGTGTATTTTTGTAATCACCAATTGGCCTACGTAATGGGGAATTGTGTTTGGTGTAAGATAGAGAAAAATGTGGAGGGCTATAGCGATTTACAAAAGTGGGACGGCATACTTTTTTTTCAGTTGGCTGAGTTTTCAAGAAAAAAATATGTCATGACAAGAATGATGTGGGCGAGCGTGATAGAGACTGAGTGTCATGAATTTTTTTTTTCTGTGCCATTTTCATATGAGCTGCTCACTTCACATTGCCTTGCCATGAAGTGGGTTTTAATTTTTATCGATTTGGAATAACTTCTGTAAGATTTTTTCCCTAAAGCTATATTTGATGAAAAATTTTAGTAAAGGAGGAGCATAATTGCATGTCTTTGTTTAAGCCTTGTTGTATGGGGCTACAAAATTCTTCTATTTGAAGGGTTAATGTTGATCTTATTGAAGGGTAATGCCAATTCTTTACATGAGTTTATGTCTGTGTTGGCTGGATGGATTGCATTTTACCTGGAGGGAGAAGGTCAAATGTTGACCTTATTGAAGAGCTATGCCAAGTCTTCATATCAATTTTACATCTTTGCATGTGCAGCTATAGTAGGAGAATATCCAAATAATATTTTTAGAATCAACTGATCAAGGTTTTCTACTTTTCCATGAACTCTATCTAAATATAGTTGAATTTTATTGGCATGAAATTCATTTATATATTTAAGAAAGATGTAAAGATAAAGTCCTTGTTTGATATGACCCAAGGAGTAGCCTACCCTTGGAAGAAAGTCTCCAATGTAAGACACAGTGTTCGGGTTTGGTTGTTGAGAATACCTAGTTTCTTGGAAATGGAGTTTGACCAGGTTGGAGTATCTAATTTGTTGTTACAATTTGGGGCAAGGGTTTAGAGTACATTTTGGATGATGTTATTTCATGAAGTTCCTATGATGTTTCAGTTCCCTTCTTTACAACAGCTGTAGTAAGAAAGCTACATGGTATGAAGTGGTTTGTGGAAATGAGAATGCAAAGAATTGGGACATTATCTCTAAAATGCTAAAATTCTTGATGATATGGAGGTGCTTGTAGTGTTTAGCTTAATTCTTGAAGTTACATTTGAATCCACCGACCAAAATTCGGCAATTGGTTGAATTCAAAATATTCAAATCAGCTTGTTGGAAGTTCTGCAAGTTGACAGGGTAATTAACACTAATTCTCAGAGCTACTAATTTAGACCTTTCTAGAGGCCTCTCTTTCTCTTATTCATTCTTTATTTCTCTGAAATGCACTCTTTTTAAACAATATATATTGTTAATACCTTTTGGTTCCTTGTTCCTAGTTGCTCTTCTTGTGGTATTAGCATTTGTGTTTGTCTCTTGTTGGAGTTTATTGTGTCGGACCCTGGTTAGTTCGAGTAAACTCACTCACCAAATTACAAGACTATGCACTAATATATAGTTGAACAAAAAGCCAAGAGCAACGTGGGTTCTATTATTGGCAAATGTCGTTTGAAAAATTTATGAAGTGGTGCCTTTGTTGCTTTTCAGCAACTAATGTGCACTTGTGGTTTTACATTTCAAATCATTAGTAATCTTGAAGAAGGATAAGCTCTATGAGCTTCACAATTTTGCTTCTTTATTTTTTTTTGACAAACACTGAGCAGAAACTTTATATTGAAAAAACTTGATTTTGGTTCCTTTTTTTTTTTTTACATTGATATTCCTTTTTTTTTTTTTTCCTTTACATATGCTCCTTAGATTTGATTATGGCTATGACTCTATGAGAGTGATTTTTTTTATTGTTTTATTTATTTATTTTTTTGACAGCTTATATTTCGATTGGCTCAGAACATTTGTAGTAGTAGAGTATTTAATGTTTAATTTTGTACACAACTGGAATTTAATTAGAAGACACTGTGAGTCTTGATGATTTCAAATTGATGGATTGATGGGTTCTCAAATAATAATAAATTACACATATCTATTTTGAGTTCTCAGTTTGTCAGGTATCTGATGATGTATATGTTTAAAGGACTTGGGTATTGAAGTGTTTGTCAGGTCTTGGATGAATAAATAGACTGAGAGTTTTCACTTTCATCAGGATAAAGTGTTTGTCTGTGACTTATTTGATATCTACAATTCTACATGATATTATTATAATATTATATTTACTAAACATATATTAGCACAAAATTATTCCTAAGTGGGGCTTTGATCACAAAAGTCCCTTAACTACGGGTATCACAGAGAACCACTCTTAAGCTCTAATTTGTTTTCCAGTCAACATCTTCTACTAGCTTTTGTTGATTAATGTGAATGTATATCTATACTTTTTAAAATGTAAGCATTTCTGCCCTTTTTTTGGAAGAGGGAAATGCTGAAAATTGTATGTGGATATGAATCTTCACACTAGATGTAAGGTTTGACTGATTTTTTTAGGGGAGGGATCCGGTGAGAATAGGTTCATATGTGAGAATTCATACTTATATGAGAACTAATTTAAAATTTAGAACATGTGAATTAAAATTTAGAACATGCGAGTTAAAATTTAGAACATGTGATTCAAATTAAAAATTTGAACATATGAGTAATAATTTAGAACATTTGTGTGAGCAATATGTTTATAACATCTGATTTAAGAATTAGAACAAGTGATTAAAAATTTATAAAATTTGCTTTATGAAATATTAAACATATGAGTAAAATATAGACATATGATTTAAGATTATGAACATCTGAATTAAAATTTAGAACAAACTGATATAGAATATAGAAAATGTGAGTAAAGAATTTAGAACATACGAGTAAAAAAATAGAACATATAATTTAAAATCTTAAAAAAAAAAATTAAAAATCTTAAAACACACGTTTTAAAATTTAGAACATACAAGTTAAAATTTTGGAACAAGTTATTTAAAATTTATGACATCGAACTTAACTAATTTATGGTTTAGAACATGTGAGTATTAAATTAGAACATTTGATTTAATTTAGAACACCTAAGGAAAAATTTAGAACATCAGATTTAAAATTTAGAACATACGAGTAAAAATTTAGGACATAAAGAGTGTTCTCACATAAGAAAAATTCTCACATAAGAAAATTTCTCACGAGAGCCTTCCCCTATATATATATATATATTTTTTTTTTTTTTTTTTTTTGAGGGAAAATTTAAGGCTTAAGGTTTGATTGATGAATGCTACATCAGGGCTGGCTTATATAATTTTACACTTGAAGTTGGATTTTTAGTTGAAGGCCCCATGAAAGGGGAGTTTTTGCTGACAACCAGCTTATTTACCCACTCCTTTCTTCATTTGGCCCTTGTTGTCACTGCTCATGCTCTTCTTTTAGCATGCCCTCTGTTCCCATTGTTTTATTGGTTGTATGTGTCACATATATACTTAGCTGTTTGTTGTGGACTTGCGGTGATCAAAAGTTATTGCATTTCTGTATAATTTTTTATTCGCTTGTCTTTCGCTGTATGTAATCTACTTTCTGTGCCTAGACATTGTAATGATGTGGTATACGCCATCTGTTTTCTAAATATGCAGAATTTCCAAGGACATGGCATGTTGAGGGCTTCTTCTGTAACTTCACCAAATACAGCAACGCCCAGTACATCACAAACCCAGCAGTCTCCATATCAGCCATGGTTGTCTGCTCAACAAGGGCGCCCCCCTTTGCCCTCTCAACCTTTTAGACCCCAGGTGAATCCCCAGTCACTACAACAGAGACCTCATATCCCTCAGCAGCCACCTCAGCCCATTCAAGCAAATTCCCAACCACAGCAATTATTGCAATCACAACCGCAACAGCAATTACATCCTTCTCAACAGCAACAGCAATTACATCCATCTCAACAGCAACATCAATTCTTATCATCTCCGCAGCAGCAGCAGCAGCAGCAACAGCTACATTTTTCAGCATCAAATCAGTCTCAAGAGAATTATGGACAACAGCTCCCAGCATCAAGAGTGTTGCAACCTTTACCTAATCAACAACAAATTGTCAGGGTACAGGGATCAGCAAATCAGAAGCCTCCCTCCTCTGCAACGGGGCAAGTAGCCATTGTCCATTCTGGTCCTATTGAGAATGTAAGTGCTGCAGAAATTCCTGAACCTTGTAGCACTATACTCAGCAAGAGAAGCATCCAGGAGCTTGTGAACCAGGTGAATGATCTTTACCATCTACTATTTGCCCTTGCATAGTTTCATTGGTCAAGATTTCTGAATATTTTAAGTTCTCACGCTTGATCAACAGATTGATCCATCTGAGAAATTAGATCCTGATGTTGAAGATGTTCTAGTCGATATTGCTGAAGATTTTATTGACTCGGTGAGTTTGAACCTTCACCTCCTTTATTCTGATAATCTTTGAGTTTTAACCTTCACTTCCTTTATTGATCAATATTGCTGAAGATTTGATTGACTGGTCAATTTTTTTAGTTAAGCTTAAAAAATTATCTTGGTACATATGAGATAGTGCTGAGAATGCTGTACAGACCCCTTTCCCCCTCTTATTTTAGGTGGTGTTAAATATTATGGGATGTAGCTATTTTGAGTATTTCTTATACTATTGAATTGCTTATGCTCATATTCTGCTGGTTGTAAGGCTCTTATCAATGACATACGGTGTTTCAGTTTGTGCTACTGATTTACTGAATAATTCAATTCCTTAACTGATTTAGTTATATGATGTACACCTTTTGTTTCATAATATATATATATATATATATATATATATATATATATATATATATATATATATATATATATATATATATATATATATTCCAAATTTCTTCTTGTTTGAAGCATGTTGTCACCTTTGACATCCTGGAAGCTGCATCCTCACTATACCCTTCTTGTCAATCAATTATGAAACATCTTTACTATATCTTACTCAAATCTCCCATGCATCAAATTAATATGATAATGCTGTTGTGCATCATTTTTGAGCAGGTTACGACATTTGGCTGCTCATTGGCCAAACATAGGAAGTCAAACACATTGGAAGCAAAGGACATATTGCTGCATCTAGGTCAGTGACGTGGATAATACATATACATAATGTGTACTGTCATATCATACTTTTTAAGCTATTAATATCTGGTTTGTCTATATTCTAATTTGTGAATGTGTTTTGTCATTGCAGAAAGAACTTGGAATATGACTCTTCCAGGGTTTACTGGAGATGAAATTAAGACCTACAAGAAACCAGTAAGCTACTATCAGATAATGTGCTAAAGAACAGTGAGACATGAAATATACTTAATAGAAAACTAGACATGAATAATCTTGATCAATCCCACCTTTCTGTTGTTCAAGAATCATTCCAGCTTTATGAAAATAATCGGAAGTGTTATTCTTGTATACAATAGCTGGCCTAACAAAGACTAGGAAAATAACAGTAGAGATAAATTTAACCTAATTGTTTTATATTACTCAGAAATATTTCCTGAAAAATGAAAAGGTGGGATTTTTTTCCTTGAATGTGGTTGAAATTTTGAGTTCTCCATGTAAATTTTTTGTTCCATTAATTGATTTACTACGTATCATATTGATGATCTGTTTTGGTTTTCATAGGTTGTTAATGATGTTCACAAAGAGCGCCTAGCACTGGTACTTGATGATTTTCTTTGTGGATTCAACTTTATTATTCTCTAATATGTACTTGCCTTGACTCTGTTTCTCATTTTCATCTTTGGGCAGATAAAGAAATCTCTCACTGGAGCTGACAATAAAACCTCTGCTGGACCAGCTACTGGAAATGTTAAAGGGCATTTGGCTAAAGCAACTCCCAACGTGGTGGGATCATGAGTCTCGTTTGACCCGTCTTTGCTTCAGATGATATATTGGTGACATTCTATTCTTGAGGCTCAAATTATTTGGCCTCAAGTATTTTTGTAACTCAGGTTATGTGACCTAACTCTGAGCTCCTGAGGGCCTTTTTTGGGGAGTAACAGCTGCTGTGTATTTAGCTTTTGGTTTGGAACTGTTAGCTTTCCAACTATTAGTGAATAGCATCTGTTCTTTAAGGGGGAAAATTGTAAAGGGAAGGAAGGCCGATTAGGGAAGGCAAGGAAGAGTTTTGTCACATACCAACCACTAATTTTATGAGTTGTATAGAGAGATGATATTGGATGATCGGAATATGAGGTAATGATTATCTTAATTTACAGCATTTAAAACATTTGCATATATATACTCCTATTTAGGAAGCAAACGGTGGGAGGCATTGTAGAGATGTGAAGCTTTGTGTCGCCTATTCCAACTACTCGTACGTAATTAACATTGAGCATCCATTGTCATGTTGTTTGTATTTTGGTTAAACTCATCTCTTTTGGTATGCTATTGGAAAGTTATACAAGTATTCTCTGCATTACTGCTGATTGTATATGGGAGAATTGGTCAGGTCTGCTGTATATTGAGTAAACTTAATAGGAATATTTACTACGTTTATAAAATTTTCATCTTCAGCAGCATCTGATTTAGCGATCGAGTACCATACTAACGACGTTTCTAAATGCGTTTGTTAAACTATTGAAGGTGATTCACCCAGTAAGGGTATATTCTGATTTACTGAGTTGAACTGCACTGATTGAAGCCGAGCTGAACTGAACTGAATATTTTATGATAAAGAAATTAGAAACTGAATTGAACTAATTGGAGTTTAACTGAACTAAACAGAAAATAAGCCGAAGAAAACAGGCCCTAAGTTGCCATATATTCTACGTCGTATATGCTTGTGGACTTGTGGTTGATTAGTATTCTATGAAAGTCTAATCATTTAGGTTAGTTAAAGCCTTGGGGGTGAAATTAGTGTCATGTCGGAGCTTGGGCTCCATTTATATTCTTTAATCTCCTTGTAATAATGTAGAGTAATTTTCTTGAAGTCATCTGATTTCTTTTCTTTTTTCTAAAATCATAAAAAGAAAAGAAAATCAATAAAAAAAGAATTACATTAATTGTGTAATTTTGCGAATTTGATTATGACCATCTTTGATTGATTAAAAAAAATTGTGTCAATTAATTTTTTGTGTGCTAACAACATTTTTTGTGATTTTGTTATAATATTTTACTTAAATTGATATTATAATATTTTAGAAAATATCTATTTTCCTTTGATGTAAATTTTTCTTGATACTTGTTCTATTAAATGCTTAGATTTTTTTTAAACTCATTAAAAAATGAATGGAACTTGACCAGGGCGTTGACTTGCGTTGACTTTTCTCTCTTCTCTCTCCTTCCATGGTGATTTGATTTTGCTGGTTTTTCTTCAGCTTAATCGGGTTCAATGGCTCAAAAGAAGAAGCAATCTACTCCTCAACCCTCAAACAACTTGAATCATCCTTCCAAATCTTCATTATCTCTATTGAATGATGGTGTTAATCGGCTGAATGTGTCTAAACTTTCTGGTTCTGCTTCGATTCCAGAAATTGATGAGGACCCTGATGAACTTGTCACTCCTTCTCATTTGAGTCGATTCTCAACAGAGAAGATTACTAGAGCTGAGCTGAAAGCCCTTGTGGATTTTCATGTGCGATTAATTAAAGCCAATAAAACAGTACCCCGTTCTACTGTTTCATTGGATCTCAGAGCTTCCTCGTCTGATCTTGATGCAGGTTGTGCTTTAACAGATGATGCTATGGTGGCTGAAGGTAATCCTGGCCTCAATTTTGGGTCAGTTCCGCGAATTCCAGAGACAGCAGTTCCTAGGGTTCCTGTTACTGTTCCATTGGTTTCTGGGGTTGGTTCTGCTCCAATTGCTGACCCGGTTTCTTTGGAGGGTGATGTGGTACTCCTCAGCCTAATTCTATTCCTGCTACTAAGCCAGACATTGCTAAGCTCACTGCTAAGGGTTCTGCCCTCTCCTTCGTAGCCCCTATGGTCAAAGATGGCAAGTCTGTTGCCATGTTACAACAAGCCGAAATTACTGAAGGTAATCTTAAGTGGAAGAATTCTGTAATTTTCTATGTCATAGGCTATTATCCTACTATAGCTGTTGTTCATAGATATATTGCTGAAAATTGGAGTGTTATAGCTAAACCTGATGTTTTTTGGCATGATGATGGTTACTTTCTGATTAAAATGCAAAACTCTCATGATATGAATGTCGTTCTTAGTGCTAGTCCACACATGTTCTTTGGTAAGGCGACTATTGTTAAGCCTTGGTCTGAGAAATTTGACTTTCATGCTGAGGTTTTGAGAACTGTTCCTATATGGGTTAAGTTACCTAACTTACCTTTGAATTGTTGGGGTGTGCACACCTTGAGCAGACTGGGAAGTGTCTTAGGAGTTCCTTTATGTGCTGATGAATGTACTTCAAAGTAGTTGAGGGTCTCTTTTGCTAGATTGCTCATTGAAGTTGATGTAACAAAGGCTTTACCCAAGACTATCTGGTTTGAAAGTCCAGATGGTGCTTTGATTGAACAAAAAGTTGTTTTTAAATGGACACCCCCCTTTTGTAGCAAATGTAACAAAGTGGGCCATGACCGTGCTATTCCTAGGAAGGTTCAGCCTCAAAAGAAGCAGGTGGCTTCTAAGGAGCAGCCTAAGAAAAAGGTGTGGGTTGCTAAGTCCCAACCTGCTACTATTCCTGAATCTGGGGGTAATGGCTCTGTTCATAGTGCTGGTGTTTTCACTCCTGCTCCAACTACTGTGCAAGCTAATTCTGATGATGATTGGAGAGTGGTGGGAAGGAAGCATAGAAGTCATAGTAATCCTCCTGTCTTTACTAGTGTTCCTAATTCTAATACCTATGCTGCTCTGCTTAAGGATGGGGATGGTGCTGGAGAACTTGATCCTATCGGGGGTGATGGTAATCCCCCTATGGGGTCATGATTATCCTATCATGGAATATCAGGGGTCTTAATGATCCCTGCAAAGTAGTTTCTATTAAGAAACTGCTAGCTGAATAGTGTATGGATGTTGTTGGTATTATGGAAACTAAGGTGAAGTGTGATAAGAGTGTTAAGCTTCAGAAGAAGTTTGGATCTGCTTGGTCTTGGTTTTGTAACTACTCATTTCTCATAGGGGTAGACTCTGGGTTGGCTGGTCTCATGACAAGGTTAATCTTTTAGTCCTCTCCTCTCATGAGCAGTTCATTCATGTCCAAATTAGCTCCAAGGATCTTCAGCATTAGATTTTCTGTACCTTTGTTTATGGCTTACATTCTATTCATGATAGGTTACCTCTTTGGGATGGTATTTCTAGTCTTGGAGCTGTTTCTAGGCCTTGGCTTGTTATTGGTGACTTTAATTCTGTTCTCAATTCTTATGATAGAGTTAATGGTAATGCTATCACTGATTATGAGGTCAACCATTTTAGAAGTTTTGTTGACAATCTTGATCTTCGTGAGCTCCAGAGTAAAGGTTCTTTTTACTCTTGGTCTAATAAGGGTCATGGTGATACTAGAATTGCTACAAGGATTGATAGGGGGCTTGTGAATCAGGCTTGGTTGAACAAGTATTCTCATGTTGAATCTATCTATCTTCCTCCTCTCCTCTCTGATCACAACCCTCTTTTGGTTGAAGTGAGTAGATTTTTTGCTGCTAAGGGGATACCTTTTAGGTTTCTTAATTGCCTAGATGTTCATGTTGACTTTTGTTCTATTGTGGAAAACAACTGGCATAGTGTTACAGATTCTTCTGCTATGGTTACGATTTGGCAGAATTTGAAATATGTCAAAAAGAACCTGAAAGATCTGAACACTAAGTACTTTGCTAATGTTGATGAGAAAGTTGATGTGGCTCTTGCCTCTTTGAAAGCCATTCAGGACCAGCTTGCTGTGGATTATTCTAATTCTAACCTTCATGTTAAAGAGGCTGAAGCTGTAACTATGGTGAAGCATTGGATGTATATCCAGGAGTCCATTTATAAGCAGAAATCTAGGGTTGATTGGATCAAGCTGGGGGATTCCAGTTCTCACTACTTCTTTTCTGTTATGAAGCACAGGCAAGGTAGAAATAGAATTGATTCTATCTTCACTAAAGATGATGTCCTTTTGAAAGATCCTGTACTTATTGAAAATGAGATTGTGGGGTTCTATAAATGGCTCCTTGGTTCTAGTGCTGGTTCTCTCCCTGTTGTTGACTTGGTCACTATTAGGAGAGGTTCTCAACTCAGCTCTATCTCTATTGATATTTTGACTTCTGTGGTTACTACTTCTGAGATTGATACTGCTCTAGCTCAGATTGGAGATGATAAGGCCCCTGGAATTGATGGTTTCAATGTTGTTTTCTTCAAAAAGGCTTGGCCTATGATCAAAACTAATATCTATGTTGCTATCTTCTCTTTCTTTGAGACTGGTGTCATTGCTAAGCAGTGGAATTGTACAACAATCACCTTAGTGCCTAAGGTTCAACATCCTTCTTATGTCAAAGAGTTTAGGCCTATTGCTTGTTGTACCATGTTGTACAAGTTGATCTCTAAAGTTCTCACAAACAGGATTTCTAAAGTGGTGGGGACTGTTATTAATGATGCTCAAGCTGGGTTTATCCCGGGTAAGCACATTGGTTACAATATTCTCCTGGCTACTGAATTGATCAAAGGCTACTCTCATAAGTTTGTTTCTCCTAGGTGCATGATCAAGATTGACTTGAGGAAGGCCTATGACTCTGTTGAATGGCCATTTTTGCAGACTGTTTTAGAAGAGCTTGGTTTCCCTCATTCTGTTGTGAAATGGATTATGACTTGTGTCTGTTCTGTTTCTTACTCTGTGATGTTATTGGCTTTCATGCTAAACCTTTTTCTGCAAAAAAAAGGCCCTAGGCAAGGAGATCCTATGTCTCCTTTTCTTTTTGCTCTATGTATGGAGTACCTCTCTAGGTGCCTTAAGGAAATGACTGGGAATCCTAATTTCAATTTTCATCCTAGATGTGAGAAATTAGGTATTACCCACATGATGTTTGCTGATGATCTTCTCCTCTTCTCTAGGGCTGATTCCATCTCTATTCAGCTTCTCTTGCAGGCTTTCCAGAAATTCTCATGTGCTTCTGGTTTGATGGCTAATTTAAGTAAGAGTGAGGTTTATTTTGGAGGTATCTCTGATTCTGATAAAGATCAGCTGCAAACTATTCTTGGTATGAGTAGAGGTAGCTTTCCTTTTAGATATCTTGGGGTGCCCTTATCTTCTAAAAAGCTTACTGTTTCTCAGTGTAGGCCTTTGGTTGAAAGGGTTACTGCTAGGATTAGATGCTGGACTTCTAGACACTTATCTTATGATGGCAGGTTACAGCTTATCAAAAGTGTTCTCTTTGGTATTCAGGCTTATTGGGCTCAGATTTTCATTCTTCCTAAGA